TAAATATCATCTAATTTAACATTTCATCTGCAGAATTTATTCCTGGTGGGGACAAGCGATCACAGAACACAGGCCATTGCCTTGAAATTTTAATACAATGGTCTGGCTGATTATGCCTTATTGATGTGCACCTAATTTTGTCATTGATATTTAAATATTATTTTCTAATACATTATTTAATAAATTATTCAAATAAATTGTCTTCTGCAAAAGCAGGGGGGGGGGATGTCCCCCAATGGCTACTATGGCACATAAAACAATTTTCTTTCTAATATTTATCCACCCATCTTAATATATGGATCCATCCAACCTAGTTTTTGAAACTTATTTACCACTGATTGAAAAAAAAAAAGTTGTAATTCGAAATCACCATAGATTTTAGTCTCAATTTTTAACTTGAAAAATAAAGTATTCCTTCTATAGTTTCCCATCTCTTTAAAGGGGGTTGAAATAAATTGATTAAATCATATAGCAATTAGGTAAAGAAAATAAACCAATATCTATTAAACCCAAAACATTTAAGTGAAGTTCAGTGGTTTTGAAAAGAAGCAATCAATTAAAACATTATTTACTTAAGAGTTTATTATTGATGCTCCATTACTGTTTAAACAAATGGAATTAGTTAAGCATCAAAAACACAAAAATTATCCCAATTAACGAAACACTAGGGGGAAAACTTGTGCTTTGCTTACCAAACATTTATTTGGTTGTAGTATTTTGTACCAGAGTGCACAGAGTTTTTAAAATGTAAAAGCAGTGCTGTGTATTTAAAGTCATTAAAGTGACCTACCTAAATTACTCATGTATCAGGTTATGTACATAAAGTTCTAAATGAATATGGTGGCTGTGAGGGGTGTCTTATTGTCTGCAAGGTTAAACCTAATCCACAATATGTGATACCCACCAAACACCTCCAGTACAAAAGACTGAGTCAAATGGTCTTATCAAGAAAAACAAACTCACTGACTGACTTATCTAGTAAGAAATAGTAGATCAAGCAATGCTTTCCAAACCTGGGTACTGGGGGAAAGTATTAAAAACTCAACAGTGTAACAGTACTAATACTCTAAATGTCTATAAACAAATGAAGTTCACATACAGAACATTAAAAAATAAACACTGCTGTGCGAGATAGGACTCCAAGTGATGACATATCCATTTCCCAAAGATCTTACACTTTGCAAGGCATAATACTATCTATACCCACCTCTCCCTCACGTATGTGGTGACTTGGTCTCTACTTCCCTACTCCTACTTTCATGTTTTCATAGTCTAAGGTAGTTCATAAAACTTCTCACACATAGACACACAAACTACTCATTTAATTATATAGATAGTATATAGTAATAAAACCAGCTTAGCTCTGCAAATTATACAAATATCTTTTAGTTTCCAAGGCCTAAAAACACTGTATAAATGCCAGTCTACAGAAAGTTATGAGAGTAAAAATATCCATTTCTGAGAAAGAATTTAAAAAGATTAGTTGAAGAATAACAAAATAGAGCAAAATAGTGTTTGTGTTATTTTCATTATTTCCAGTTGCTGAATGGAAAATATATTTCTGTAATAATTTTATCCCTTTTATTTAAAAGCAAAACAATTATGAATAACTTAAAATGAAAGGTAAACTAACACCATAGATCAAAATTAAAATGTAACTTATAAATTAATGAAGCAATAATGTAAAACACACTGACTAGAAGTGTGTACATTTATATAAACACAAGAAAACTAAATGCAATGCTTGGGATGCACCGACTCATAATTTGGGAACCCTTGCTATTAACAACATTTTTAGCTGTATTTAATCGTAATGGTCCTCAACAGTTAAACATATTACAAAAAGTTTAATACAACAGCCAAAAATGAGTGATAAAATATTAGGTACTCTACATTTAATAGATAAATACTGATCATCCACTTCAGAAATTACATCAAACCCATTTAATATAAAGTTGTACAGGAAATAAGGCTAAATAAGGCAGAGAATGAAACATTTACTAAACTAATGATGACTTAATTATCAGCATCAGTTTTAAAGTTACTACAACAACCACAAAGTTAAGAGATAGTGAAAATACCAACTAATTCACCTATTTTTTGGCCCCAGAACACTACTGTACCAGCATCATAAGCACTTCCCTCAGCCAAGTAAGTCACTTCGTCCCCTATCTTCCATCCAACGACTGGATAGAAACCTAATGACATATATAAACAATCACTAAATCTATGGTATGCACATTTCAAATATACAGAAGTCATAACACAATTACACCAAACTATTAATAACATTAAGAACAGGGTTAAAGTGTATTACAGGTGAAAACTGTAAGCTTAGCAACAGCGTGTGTATTATAGAGTGTAGCTTCACTACTCTTCTGTTGAGATTTTGCTTTTCATAACTACAGATAAAATACTTCACAGGAACTTTAATACAATAGTTTACAAAAAACAAATAATGAAATACATACACACACACACACAAATGTGTGTGTGTGTGTGTGTGTGTGTGTGTGTGTGTGTGTGTGTGTGTGTGTGTGTGTGTGTGTGTGTGTGTGTGTGTGTGTGTGTGTGTGTGTGTA